TAGAAAACACATTTAAAGCTGTGTTTATGGCTGAATTGCTAATTCTCTGAATCAGCACTGAATCTTCAGATTTGGATTTGGCCTAATTGAATCAGGGACAGTGATCTGAATCAATTAATCGAATCACTGTCCCTGATTCAGGCCAAATCCACACCGAATAGGGCCCGCTTCGCCCACCCCTAACAGACACCACTGCTGCTTCTTAACTTGCCTGTACCCAAGATTTCTGGCTAATGCTCTAGCTCTCACTCTCTCTACAAATGGTGTTGATATGAATGCCCGTCAGTTCCTGCATGCTGTTCTGGGCTCCTGGTTTGGTGTCCTAGAATGAAGTGAAGCCACTAGCGTCACATAATCTACAGCGTATTTAGCAACCGGTTCCATCAACTCCTGCTGCTGTGGTACATTTTATAAACAGTTATAGGATGACCATGTTGCTAAGAATAGTTTAAACCTATATAACAAGTGGATTCCTTTGGGTTGGGCAGGGCTATGCAAATGCTAGAGAAGGATCCACTGGATGTCTGGAACATGAAGAGGTCATGATTTAAAGGGGAACAATCAAGTCCAAGCTTATGTTGTAATCCCATTTTGAAAAAATGCCATTAGAGAAGTGTTCTCCCAGGATGCTCAGAAGCATGTCACATGCCGATGTGAGATGCTCCTGAGCATCCTGGGAAAACACCTCTCTAATGGCATTTTTCAAAAATGTGGTTAGACAGATGGGCTGTCAGGGGTCTTGGGTGGACACTGGTTTCTGCTGCTTCTCAGGATCTTGCTACAGATAAGCACATCTGGAATATTTTTAGTCACTGACTAGCATGAAAAGGCTATGGGCACTTCTCAGAGCTCTAGGGAAGATAAGGATGACCCATAAGGGCCTAATCCTGTTTCCTTTCTTTCTTTTCTTGCCCCAATAAGGGCCTGATCCTGTTTTCTTTCCCCAACCTGTGGCCCCTCTGAGCTCAGTGGGAATACTGGTATCCAAGAAATGTAGGAATCAGGCCCTAATGTGAGAGTTGGAGGAGAAATTGCTGGCAAATCCCTTGATCTGCAGCTACTGGGATCATGTTCTTTGAGTTAGGTTCTCTTCTGTCTCTCACACTCTTGTAGGTAGAGGAGGAAGAAAACAATCATGATGGTAACAGCAAGACCAGGAACAGAAATTGGCCATAGAATTTGAGACCTAATTAGACTGTTTGTATGTATGATGGGGGTTTAGTCCCGTAAATTGAAGTGGCGAGTTTTTAATTGCAATAATTAAAAACCCACTGTTTCAATTTAGGGGCTTCCATCACCATTACAGTGAGGGGTCCAATCCTTTTTCTTTTTTTCCCCCCACGGAGCCTACCCCCTTCTCCTGCAGCTGTGGGGTGAACTGTTGGTGGGCCGAACAGCCTTCCTTGCCTGGTGGCGGTGCCCCCCAGGGCCACCTGGGTGGGCTGATAGCAGGCAGGTACTGCCTGGGGGGCACCACTACTGTGGACAGACGGTTCGGGGCCCACTACAGCTCAGACCCACTGGCAGCTCGCCCCCTGGCTGTGGAAGTAAAAAAAAAAAAAAAGGATCAGGCCCCTCACTGCTTTTTTCCCCCCCTCAGCAGAGCCTGCCCATGCAAGCTGCTGCTGGGCTGTGCAGCCCCTGAGCTGCAGGGGGGCCTGGTCCTTCCCTCTGCGGCAGCAGCACCCCCCATGGCCACCCAGGCAAGGTGCTAGCTGTGCAGGTGCTGCCCCAGCTCACAGGCAGCACCTGCTGGGGAAAAGTTGGATCCAGCAGGTGCTGCTTGTAAGCTGAGGCAGCACCTGTGCAGCTAGCACCCCACCTGGGTGGCCCTGGGGGCAGCTGCCCCCCCCATAGCACAGGGGCTGCATAACCCAGTGGCAGCTCATGCAGGCAGTCTCTGCTGAGAGGGAAAGAAAAAAAAAGGCAATGAGAGGCCTGATCTTCTTTTTTTTTCCCCCCTGTGGAGCCTGCCTGCCTCTCCTGCGGCCAGGCAGTGAGCTGCCAGAGGGCCCTGAAACTTCCCTCCACGGTGGCAGCACCCCCCAGAGCCACCTGGGTGGGAGGTAGGGTAGCCATCAAGGTACCTCAAGAATAGAGGACAGTTGCATTTAGTGCACCCCCCACCATAAACATTGCATGCCTCCTGAGACTGTGGGGGGCACAGCGAGCTCCCGCAGGCGGTGGTATCAGCAGCAGTGGCGTGACAGCGGGGAGCTGTGGCGGTGTCAGTGTTGCGAGGGCTTCCAAGTGGTGAAAAATAGAAGACGTAAAGGTCCAGTTTCATATCAATAGAGGACAGAGGACCAGAAGACTGGACTGTCCTCTATAAAACTGGACAAATGGCTACCCTAGTGGGAGGCTAACGAGTAGGTGCTGCCCCAGCTCTCAGGCAGCACCCAGCCCAATCCAACTGTTCCCTGAGCCTGAGCTGGGGCAGTACCCACTCACTAGTAGCCTGCCTGGGAGCCTCAGAAGGAAGGACTGGGGCCTTCTGCAGCTCCAGGGTGGCTCAGCTCACCTCACGACTGTGGGAGAGACAGGTTGGCTCCATGAAAGAAAAAAAAAAGATTGGGCCCCTCACTGCTTCTGCCTTCAGCCCACTTGTCATACAGCAGGGTGCTGAGCTGTCAAAGGCATTATAAGCTGACCAAATGGCAAACTGAACAATTACCAATTGGGCTCATTCTTTCTGCTTTTGCTTCCTTCTGCTACTCCATAAGCCTAATTCTGCTGTTTGTCTCTATCAAAGATGTCAGTGGGTAGGCCAACCAGGGAGAATCTTAGAGCAGCTTTTGGCCTCATGCCTTATTCTTGTCTTCTCCATGCACTTTTACTTCTTTCCCTATTTTTGTCCCTGGTCCAGGCTGCCTAATGGAATTTAGTTAGGCTACAAAAGGCCTCTCCTTAATACATGCCCCCATTTAGTAGTCATTTCATCCCCATTCCTCTTTGCAAAAACAACTCTAGCCCTTTCCTCTTACAGACAGATCAGAAAAGATCTCAGAAGCACATCTGGGTACAGCTATGACAGCCCTCAGCAATGCTCAGGGTGTTCACCCCTTGCCCTGTACAAAACTAAAGTAATGGTAGATATAATGCTAAGGCCACCTGGTTCTCAGACTGTGCTTTTCAGCAGAGAGTTCAAAGTCCCATCCAAAGGAGGTATCATTATCCCCATCTGACAGATGCTCAAGGTTACTCAGCAAGTCAGTGAAAGAACCAGGATGAGAACCTATGCCTCCCAAATCCCAGTCTTATCCACTGGGCCACACTACCTCAAAGACTAAAGTGTCCAGGAGCACACATCTTGCTGGACAAAACGGAGAGTGTGTGGAGGGGCATGGCAAGGTGCCCACTACTGCTGGAGGGCACTCAGGAGACACTGAGGATTTCTGACTTTGGGGGCATTTGTGGGATGGATAAGCACCTTGAGTGGACAGGAATCTTCCTGGGACAACCAGAGAGAAAAGAGGCCAACCCAATTTTGACAATGCAGTGGCGTTTTTTCTGGGGCTGGTTTCTTAAGGTCCTCCAGGATTGTTTGCAGGGAATAAGAAGGAATTCTGCATAAGAGAGACAAAATCTGGCACTTGGTGCTGAGGAGGTCGGTCTCTTGGAATTTTTTTCAGAATTCATTTGCACTGAAAGCAAAACAATCTTTTCTTCCCTTTGCATTATTGTTATAATTTGAGAGCATTTTCAGGCAGAATACTTCAGATTCCTGCTGAGCTTTATCACTGCCATAATTACAAAGTCAAATGCAATCATTAAAACAACATTTTCCTTGCAACAGTCTAGATTACTCCTTCCCCCAATACCAACACCAATTGGCATTACTGTCAGGCATTGAAAAACAGGCGTGTGCGTGTACGCATGTCAGCTATCGTCATCTAACACAAGACCTTGGATTGCACCCAGCCTGTCCCTCTCTGTATGCTGATCATACACATGACCTGTCTATTAAGCTGGCAAAAATGTAAACTCTCTGCGTAGCTCTCAATAGGCGCTTGAAACCAAAGTGTTTAACCATTAGCTTGACCTTCACCTTCTGTCTTCTGACTGCTCTTATTACCTGTATGCACAAGCAGAGGCAATGCTGGAAACGAGCTCAAAATTACTTCATTCACTTTCATTAAGGTTGGCAGGCAATGGGGACAGAGAGATGAGGAGCAGGGCATCTGCGCATGAACTCACAGAGATGAACAGTGCGAACAGAAAGTTTGCTTTAAAAATTGTAGTAAGGGAAGGAGCAGGAGGAGGAGAATTAGAGAGAAAAAGGGAAAGAGAGGAAGGAAAGTTAAGGGAGGAGAGGGAAAATTAAGGAGACTGAGAGAAAATTTTGAAAGAATTTGAAGGTCCAATTTCTGCCTCACTTATTCTTTACAACCAGTGGGGTTACATGCAAGTGGAAAGACAGAGAAATCAGGCCATTTAAAAGGCCACCAGGCCTGAGAAGAGATGACTAGAGCTTACCTTGATGTTGTCTTGCCAGCGGTGGGCTTTCTGGAACCTCTCAGCTGCATCAGCGAGATTCTGTAAATCATACAAGAGAGATGGGGTGAGCTCAGATAAAGCAATTTCCTTTGCAACAGGTGGAGGACTGGCTCATTCTTCCCCTGAACAGGTTTGGTTACACTGGTACCTGGGGACTTACGCACAATGGAACCAAACCAGAGAAACCCCCAGAGTGAATAGGAATAAGAAAAGTCTCTACAGCTTGAACAGGCTCTTTAGCCACAGGCACAATGAAGGCTGTGGAACACACACGGTGGCTGAAAGAGCATGTTCAGCAGTGCAGCTCATAAGAGCCAAGGCAAAATCGGCACCTTGCTATGTCCTTCCAAGTGCACATCAAATTAACAAGCCCTGTGAGGCTCCCCCCATGGGTTCTAGACTGGGAGGGTCTTCTACCTCTCTCTTGGTCCCCATCCCTAAACCACAGTGTAATTAGACTTCACAGATGCTGTGAAAGGCCTTCACCCCTGCTCCACAGAGATCCTGGAGAGGACAGGACAGGGTGAGACCTTAAAGACTAACTCATTCATCAGGTGAGAAAAACAAACCCTTGATTAACAACTGCCCTTGACTACACAGGTTAAACTGAAGTTGTGATTTTAAACCAGTTTCATTAAACAGGTGCAAAAGGCTATAATTTCAGATTAAAGCAGTTTTATTGCAGTTTATCTTAAATCAATTCTTTACTGACTTTGGCTATGCCAAAGCAAACCACACTGAAACCAAAGCAAGTGTCCACACAGAGATTTCTACCAAGTTAAATCAATCGGTTTTACGCCATCTGAGGATTTTGAGTCAGTGCTAGTACATGCCGATAAACCCAGATTCCAGGGACCAGGAGTTTTTCTGGAACTGCCAGACTTTGCATGCTGAACTACTGCTAGATCTGTGGTACTACACGCTCTAGAAAAGACCAGGTCCCCTGGGAAAGCTTCTTTAATATGGCTGTCTGAAGGGTTAATATTTTGCCTGGAGGTAATTAACCCTTGTACATCCCTCCAGACTATTTTCACACTTTGGATGCACACCCTGAGAAGAGTCAGTTCAGCACCACTGAGCCAGCCTGCAATGCACCAGCTATTTCTGAGAAGCTAGTGAATGGGGAGCGGAATCAGGTAAGATATCACAGCAGCTCTGCCTTTAATTACTGACTGCAGTGGGAGGTTTCCAGGCTGAGATAGCATTTCAAGACAGCCTGACAAGGTCTAAGCAAAGGATAGGTTAAGTGCAGACAGAAAAACTACTTTATTTCTTTACAACATATGAGATTTTTTTTTTAAGGGAAAAAAAGAAATCCATCTCCAGCAGCAGAGTAGACATGTCGCCACTAATGACTGCAGCAGCATCACTGGAAAGCGAACCATGGGACATCACTTGGCACAGCCAAGGGACCAAGTATGCTGTCTTTCCATATAGCTAGGTTACTCTGGGCAATGAGGCTGGCGGCACTTGGAATGTGAAAAGGTGGAGTAGGATCAAAAATTGCTGATACAGTGGTGAGCCTGAAGGGGACAGCATTTCACCTCCTCTTAGGAAGAATGGTGCCTACTTCAGGAAAGGGAATATTAGGATAACTGCTTCCCATAATCTATAGAAAGATAAGGCCAGAATTTCCAAAGGTGTCCAGTGATTCAGGGTGTTCAACTAGACAAACAACAGGCTTGATTTTTTCCATGGGAGCTGCTGGTGTGGACTAGGAAAGAAACTACAGAAAAACAGGGGATTTTCTGCCTTCCCATGAAGCATCCTCCATTGATTGTACCCCCTCAAGAACAGCAACCCCCTTCTCGTGCTCCACTGCAGAAGAGAGGGCAAGGCACATGGACCAGACTATTTATCGTGGTCCGGGAGTACTTCAGTTCCTGTGGCGTTGCAGTGCAGATGGGGGAAGCGGGTGCATTCACCATGTGGGTGGATATGTAGTGTTTCATACACTGTCCAGGAAGGGGTGAGTCTATAATGGAATAAAGGGTGTGCTCTAGTTGCTCTCAAAGTCACGCTAGGCTGAAATAATTTGATTTCCAGCAATAGAAATAAAAGGCCCCACTCATTATTCCAGCAGTGCTCCCCTCACCCTGACCCACTAGGGATCACCTGCCTTTCCCATTGCCATGACCCCTCCCCCAAGAATGGGGTGACTTGCATCTTCTACATCCTGCAGGCTGGCTAGTTTGCTTCACTCTCTTCTCCTAGATTGGTGGAATAGCCCTCCAAAGGCCCCAGGATTGGGTTCCTATCTTGATCAGCAAATTGTCAAGGGAAAGGAGCAGTGAACACAAGAGGTAGCTGTTGCCATCCATTTTATTGGTACATGCCCATTCCATAGATTTCATAGATGTTTAGGGTCACACAGGGCTTGTTCTCCTGCCCTCTGATCATGCGCATGGCTCTCCTCTGGACTCTCTTAAGCTTCTCCACATCCTTTTTAAATTGTGGAGCCCATAATTGGATGCAGTACTCCAGCTGCAGCCTCACCAAGGCCAAGTACAGTGGGAGGATGACATCCTGGGATCTGCTTGAGAAGCATCTATGGATGCAAGCCAGAGTTTTGCTCGCCTTACCGGCTGCGATATTGCATTGGTGGCTCATATTCATCTTGTGGTTAATCACGACCCCCAAGTCCCTTTCGGCTCTGGTGCTAGCAAGTGTAGCACTGCTGAGCATATAAGCATGCTGCAGGATTTTTTTTCTCCCCCAAGGTGGAGTACCTTGGGTTTTTCAGTGTTGAATGCCATCGGGTTTTCGACCGCCCATTTTCTGAGCCTGTCTAAGTCAGCTTTGATCACTAGCCTATCCTCGTGTGGCTGCTTTACCCCAAAGTTTGGTGTCATTGGTGAACTTGGCCAGTCCCCTTCTGACACCAATGTCTACATCATAAATAAAGATGTTAAAGAGTAAAGGCCCAAGGATGGAGCCTTGGCAGATCCCACTGATCATGGAGTACCACAATGACTTACTTCTGTCTGTTATCACTCTCTGGGTCCGACCTCAGAGCCAATTCCCCAGCCAACGGACTGTGATGTAGCCGAGGCCACAGTTAGCCAATTTTTTCAGGAGGATATCATGGGACACCAGATCATAGGCTTTTTTAAAATCAAGATATATGACGTCAATTTCTTCTCCCTTGTCCAGGTGATATGTCACCTGGTCATAGAAGGAGATGAGATTGGTCAGGCAAGAAAGATCCTTTTCCGCCATTGTGATACTTAGAAGGTATCTGTATGTGTGTTGGGGATTCCTTCTCACTAGGTGCAACACTTTGCACTTATCTTTGTTAAACTGCATTTTATTCTGTTCTGTTCACTTTTGCAAGCCGTCCAAATCCACCTGAATCCATTCCCTGTCCAACCGTGTGTTTACTTTGCCCCATAATTTGGTGTCGTCTGCAAATCTGGACAGAGTGCTTTCCACGCCCTCATCCAAGTCACTGATGAAGATATTGAACAAGGAGAGAACCTTGGGGGATCCCACTGCCCACATCTTTCCAGGTCAATACCAACCCATCCACCACCACTCTGAGTGTCCCATACGCCAATTCGCCACCCACCTGACTGTGTAATCCTCTATGCCACTGCCACTTAGTTTACTTATAAGAATGGGATGAGACACCATATCAAAGGCCTTTTTAAAATCCAAGTAGATGACATCTACCTCAACTCCTGCATCTAAGCATTTTGTGACCTGGTCATTTTAAAAAGAAATAAGGTTAGTCGGGCAGGATCTACCTGCTATGAATCCAATCTGGTTAATCTTCAGCATTATTTTTCCTGCTGGACTCCCACAACTGTGTTCCTTAATAATTTTGTAAAGGTTTTCCCAGGACAGAGGTGAGACTAACCAGCCTATAGTTACCTGGATCCTCCTTCCTTCTTTCCTGAAAATAGGGACCACATTGGCCCTTTTCCAGTCATCTGGAACCTGCCCTGAGCACCAGGAGTACTCAGACTGCCTTGCCAGTGGTTCTGCTACGACACTGGCTAATTCCCTCAGCACCCTTGTACGAAGGTCATCTGGGCCCACCAACTTAAACATGTCCAGCCCCTCCCAGTGTCCCTTCACTAGGCTGATGCTAACTGTTGGTGGGCAGATGTCCCTCGGATCTATAATCCGACTGAGAAATTTGTCTTTATCCGTGTACAGGAATACAGATACAAAAAACTCACTGAAGAGTTCAGCTTTGTCACTCCTATCTGTCACCAATTGCCCTAGTCTGTGCTGTAGGGGTCCTATGCTGCCATGCACCTTCTTTTTGCTCCCTGTATACCTAAAGGACTTTTTGTTGTCTTTAATTTTTGATGCCAGCCTGAGTTCCTTTGCTGCTTTGGCCTTTCTAATTGCCTCACTGCAAGTGTGAGCCAAGTAGGTACTCCTCCTTGGTGGTTACCCCCTGCTTCCACAGTCTGTGTGCCTCTTTTTTCGCCCCTAGACTTTCCTGGATTTCCCTGTTCAGCCAAGAGGGTTTCTTGGCCCCTGGGCAACACTAACCTCTAGAATCAGTATCCCTATCATGTGAGGTCTTACAAAGAATGCCTCGGTGTCAGGGCTTCCTCACATGTGCTATGGCATGACAGTGGAGATGGAGGAGAAAAAAAAAAAACAAAAAAGAAAGAAAAAAAAGTGAGGTAAATCGATTTGTATAATGAAAATCCTGAGAAGTGGCCATGGTCAGGTCTTTTAATTGCGCTGAAAGGGACAAACGTCAAGAGCCCAGAGGTTTCTAACAAGATCAATTCTGCACCACCAAGTAAATTAAAAGCAGAATGCAAAATAAGTTACACAACCTCCCCCTCCCTCCTTCTAAGCTCTCTAACCCAGATCTGGAGCTGCGTACCAGGAGTTCAGCTAGGAGGAGTGGTGTGGGATGGGATGGGTATTAAGACAAGCCTTGACCTTGAAGGGCCACAGGTCAGACAAAACAAACAAATCTAGTTGTGTGTGGAGTGCAGTCCAAGTGCTTTGCAGTGTGGGCAATGGGCGCTTTCCAACATTTCCTAAATCAGGCAAAGTTCCCACTGAGG